TAGTGGATTATACCCTAAAAATGGCCACAGACTTGCAGTAGTGAACACAATCATCCTTGAAGATCAAACAGCAATCAAATGAGCTGGGCTGGAAATTTTTGGCTGCTTCCACATTACTTTTGTAAGTAGGGGAAACGAGTATTGCTATACAAATATCCACAATATAATCTGTGCCCCAGACACATACACAATCATGAAGGGGCCATATTGCATGTAATCTAAACTGCTTGAACATGGCCAAATTCAGTCTGACAAGACAGGTTACAGTTTTGCATAAAATTAGTAAGTTATGTAGCACAGGAACTGGAAAACATTAGAGCAGATACTAAAGCTAAGAATTAATACATTTCACCAGAAAAGATTTTGATGAGTTTGAATACCCCAGGTTCCTGCTCAAGCTGGCCATTAATGGCTCCATCCTGAATCAGGTGACACTTTACACCAGGGGCCATGGGTATTCAAACACAACAAAACTGCAATTATTGCAGTGGAAACACAATGGAAAAGAAGGTTACACGTTTGGTTAAGGATCACACACACTATATACCACCACCTATACATCTCATATATTTAAACCGACCTAGTCCAGTACCTTTGAACTGCCTTAAAGGGTTAAGTAGCAGATGGCACTGGATTGGATTACTCTAAAAACTCTTGGAGACTCCAGTGGCAAGATCTACTAAATGGAGTGCCCAGGTCCACTCAACAAGGTCGATACCAAGCACAGCAAGAGTGCCTCACTACACCTGCTGCATGACTGAATGAAAATCCAGTAGCAGAGCCACTTTCTGAATGGCCACAGCAGGTGAATGAAGAACTCAAATTCAGCAATTGTATCAGACAACCAATATCCACTATTATCCATCCAACACTGAAGTCAGCTCGGCTGCACTTAGCCTTTAAGAACATACATCTTCATATAAACAACAAGAGTAAATTGTTGAAATCTAACTGGTTAAATAGGCTTTTTAATAAAGCTTTTGTATAGCTACAGGGATACAGTTCACACCTCAATGTGCTGCTTGAATGACCGTCTCTTTGCACTATATTTTTAAAGTTGGAAACATTTTACCATTTGTAGAACTATCTTAAGATAAAGCACATTTAATTTAGTCCATACATAATGGCCTAATGTTCTAACATGAAAGATGTTGAATGAGATATTAAGAGTGGCTACCATATCCCTGCAGATATAATAGAAGGTACAAGTGCTTTCCATTAAAGAAAAACATTGTTTGAAACATCCCAATGATCAAAGCAGCATTGATCTATGTCCCTAACCTGTGCCTTCCTACACTAGGGCAAAGGTCTATGCTTAAGCCATTTAAAGTACATATGCACTGTATATGCTATGACAGGGGTGAATTTGTCCACCCCTGCATTAGAACTGGTCTCCCATGTTCTGCATTCTACAAGGCTTTTGTTTTCTAAAAAAAGAGTTGAAAGCAATTAACACGAAAAAAACCTTCTGTAAAACACAGAACTAAAATACAATATTTGTCTGCCTCTTAAACCTTAGAAGGTACTGAAGGCTGAGTAAACATGTGAACCATACTGATGTTCTAGTATTTTAAAATGCCTTCGAGCAGACTTCTCAGTAGGTCCAGTATGGTCAGATCTATGCTTTACATTATAGTACCAAAATATGTATGGCGATTGCAGCGAGAAGCGGAAAAAGCGGCAGGGTTGTATACAGCAAAAGGTTAAGGCCTGGACCCTCCAGCTAGCTGAAAGTTTTTATCTTCATAGCAAACCTAAAAAACGCAACCAAATCCAAGTATATTACTATTTACATTTCTAAAAGTGCAACTAAAAAAAGGATAACTGGCTAGAATGTAGGCAGACATGTTCAATGTGAAGGAGCCTAATCCACTAGAGAACATGGTGGTTTCTAAATAGAATGTTTTCATCATTTGGTAACTAAATTCTGACAAAGTGAGGCACACTTACAGATTCATTTTAAAATGACCGGTTCCTTTTGAAATATGCACATCAATCAGTGTAATGCTCTTTGTTGAGCCATGGGGCTCTATAATACATCATTCCACCATTAAGGGCAGGTTCACACCATTTTCTGGACCAGATCTTGTCTGGAAAATGGTGTGAACCTGCTTGCAGTTCCAGTGCCTTCAAGACCAGACAAAATGAGACATGCAGTAGTTTTCTGGTCTGGACTGCGCTGGTGTGAACAGAGGCCAGAAATAGCATAGGGCTACATTAGGATGCATTTTGGGTCTGGAAACAATTTGGTCTGGAGATGATCTGCATGTGGTGTGAATGGGCCCTATGTCAGGGGGTTTATATAGATGGCACTGTGAACACAAATTGGTGTTTGAGATGTTCAATGGAGCTCCAGCCAAAAGTTATTTTGTTTGGACCGATGTCGGATCTTCATATTTCTTGATTCAAACATTTTTTTTAAAAAGACTACAGGTCGCCCTGTAAGGGGTTAACATTGTGGGTATAGTTGAACACAGTGGCTCTGGAAACACTGGCAAAGGCTACATATTGAGGACTGGGCAATCCAATGATTTCAGCTCTGTACCACTGGCCATCATACATTCACTGGCCGCTTTATTAGGTATGGTCAAGATGGTCTGCTGAAGTTCAAACCGAGCATCGGATTGGGGAAGAAAGGTGATTTAAGCGACTTTGAACATGGCATGGTTGTTGGTGCCAGACGGGCTGGTTTGAGTACTTCAGCAACTGCTGATCTACTGGGATTTTCACACACAACCATCTCTCGGGTTTACAGAGAATAGTCCAAAAAAGAGAAAATATCCAGTGAGCGGCAGCTCTCTGGGCAAGAATACCTTGTTGATACCAGAAGAGAATGGCCAGACTGGTTCAAGCTGATAGAAAGGCAACAGTAACTCAAATAAACCACCCGTTACATCCGAGGTATGCAGAACACACAACACATTGAAGCAGATGGGCTACAGCCACAGAAGATCACACCGAGTGCCACTTCTGTCGGCTAAGAACAGGAAACGGAGGCTACAGTTTGCAAGGGCTCACCAAAATTGTAAAACAGAAGATTGGAAAAACGTTGCCTGGTCCGATGAGTCTCGATTTCTGTTGCGACATTCTGATGGTTGGGTCAGAATTTGATGTAAACAACATGAAAGCATGGATCCATCCTGCCTTGTATCAACAGTTCAGGCTGGTGGAGCATCGCATCATGGATGTGCAGCTGACAAATCTGCAGCAACTGTGTGACGCTATCATGCCAGTATGGACCAAACTCTCTAAGGAATGTTTCCATCACCTTGTTGAATCTACGCCACGAAGAATTAAAGGAGTTCTGAAGACAAAATTGGTCCAAGCCAGTACTAGCAAGGTGTACCTAATAAAGTGGCCAGTGAGTGTACTTGGCAACACGTGCATGGCCAATTACTGTGTTGCTTTTAACTCCAACTTCGGTCTTATTCACCATTAACATGAATGTAGAAATCGGATGGCTCATTCATATGACAGACAATGGCAACAGGTTATTTTGTCAGGGGTGTGGATTGGGATACACAAAAAGGGAAGTTTACATTTTACAAGCAATCCTGCTAGGTTTTAACCAATACAAATACTCATGTACTGAGCATGTACTGAGTAACATTGATATAAAATGTTTACAACATCCAGCTAAAATCATCTTCATTGCTGGCGGCCGCTGCACAGGAAACCCTCACAGACTTGTACAATGCTGTCTCTGGAGACCATAGATTGTCGGGAGATGGCACTATACAAGTCTATGATGGTGCACACCTCATGAAGAGGATTTCAGCTGAAGAATGTACTGTGGTCCCTTTCAGATAAGTAAACACCTAGCGAGGGGTTGTTGAGTAGTTGAAAACAGGATAGAAAAAAGAAGGCGGTTAAATGTACTTTTCATGAAAATACACTTCCCCTTTAAACAGACACAGCATTACAAGCCTCATCTTATTTATTGCAGCATTACACATTGGGGGGAGATTCACTTTACTTTCTGTCACAGTGAGAAGTATCCTCAAGTAGTAAGGGTAACTCTCCCTAATGGAGACCTTACAGAGGTTCAAACTCTGCTCCCCCTTCAGTGAAAGGTTGTATTAGAAAGCCATAGTGCTTAGTGAAGCTCTTGCTTTGCATTACATATAGGGCATGTCTGCTACTGCTGCAGCCTATTCACTTTCACAGTTACCTCTGGAGGATGATGAGAGCAATTAAAATATGGGATGGAAGACTGCTGGAAGCAAAACACAAATAAGCCACGAGCAAATGACCAGCCTCAGCTCTGAATGTGTTAAGATGCAGTAAAATTATTAATAAAATACATTTTTAATAAGTAATTATGAAGGCCTTGAAAAGAAAAATCAAATGTAAAACTACATAAACTGAACAAACGTAACTCAGAATAGCATAGCCCCATGAATTACTGCCTGAATCTCTAGTAATGTAGTATCACAACTGAAGGAAGTAAGGAGTGTGAATGGGATTAGGATGGTAATAGGACCCTTGACATCAGTCTGTGTTCCCAGTCTCCAATGGTACAGGGCTGACGCTATGGGTTCAAATACTGCATATATATACTCCTAGGTATATACACACACACAGAAACACGCATCAAGGGTGAAATTATATACATATATTTTTATGTAGCTGTATATATATACACAGTATATATACCAGTATATACACATACATACATATAATACAAAGTAACCGCTAAGTCTACTCTTCTACACACCATGGTCCTTCCCATTTCAACTCAAGAATTAGTACAAGGGCCAGGGTACAAAACACAAGAGCAGAGCGGTTACAGTTTAATAATCTGATACTGCAGCCTTAACTACTCATCTCATTTGTTTAACCAGCTAACACCGATTTGCCTTTTCAGCCCTAATACACGGTCACTTCTATATTTACATACCATTCTGTAATTGCCAACACGTGCTGTTATTTGCATGTGTACAATACAAACTGCACAGATTTCCATTTGTTTTATATACCATATGTATATAAACCTGCATGTGTTCACGTAAAAATATGCATATCTGTAGTGCATGCATGCATACATGTTAAAATGTATGCTGCAATTGCTATATGTACTCCTAAGTATGAGATGATCCACACTATTTCCATATACTGTGTCATTTGTCTATATACATGTAGTAACCGTTTTTGGAGTTATAGATTAGTATTGCTCAGTAATCCTTTCCGGCTTCTGCAGCAGTAGATGACGAGGAATGAGAAAATGGTTTCTGAAAGGGCCATACAGTCCTTGTTTGATGCTAAAATTTAGCCATGCAATTGTTGATGAACCTAAGGTGTAGTTAAGATTATGATGTATGACCTTTCCTAAACCACATTCCTGCCATCAGTCAGGTGTGACCTGTTCTCATATTCACACAGTGATAAGAAATGTAATAAGTCCCTAAATCCCATACAGTAAACTGGCAGTGCCCGTAACATGAATGTAACAAAAGACGGGGTGCCCCAAATCAGCTTCTACTCTTTTCCACACATGCGGACCCATTTTTTAAGCTTTGCCACATGTCCGTTTCTTCTGCATCAACAGCAAAGGCCCTTCAGTCATCCATGGCGATATTGCGGAAGAGGTAAGACATGGATTCCCCATTGTGGATTCGGCGAATGGCCTCTGACAGAATAAGGCTGATGTCCACTGTTTTGATCTTTGCGCACTGCAATTTTTGCACCTCGTGAGGGACGGTGTTGGTCACCACAACCTTGAATGTAAGAGACCAAATGTTTTTAAGTGACAGCAAAATCAATACAGAGTCATTCAAAGATTCAACTACAGAATAAAAACATATTTGAAGTAGTACTGCCCAACTCCTTGGCCATTAGACTTACTTTTCAGATGAACGAGTGCTGACTCTGCCATGAAGAAGACTCCAGCTTCCCATGCATGCCTAAGTCATACCACGAATGGTATCTTCCCAGACATAGGGTGCAATGGAAGCTTTCTGCCATTCCTAGTCAATGGAAAGCATGGCAGTAATCCAACACTATGCCATCACTGATTGCACTTGAGCCAGGGATTTTGTATTTGGGTGACACATTGTATATGTGTAGGTTATGGTCAGTGGTAGGGAACTATATTAATGGATGCTGTGAAATGGGCAGGGGGGATACATGACTACTGCGTGTAAGGACTGCATATATGGTTGCTGTGGGACATACAATCTCCATGTGTCAGATCAAAGCTACATTCTTTCTGTCTTCTAGATGAGAGAAAGATTTCTCCATGCTTGACCCAATTCATATGTTGGTAAAAAGCCACACTCATATCTGAGCGCATCCCAAATACTTTAGTCACATGGAGTCAGTGAGCCCTAATTTTGTCTGTATGCAGTCACTGTCCCCCCATATAGTGGTAAAATGCCTGCATCACCCTTATCACCAATATGAGGATTCAGTAAGCCACTGTGCAATCACTATCATTTATAGCAGCGGTTCTCAACCTGTGGGTCGGGACCCGGGGTCGAATGACGATTTGCCAGGGAGTCTCCTGCTATTAGATAGCGGCTCCCGGCCGCCTGGGAGAAAAACACTTTCTCCCGAGCAGAGTAAACCTTTTTTGTCTGACATTGGGGGCCGTAGGCCGCCGTAAGTCAGAAAAAAAAACCCCACCCTAGGAATGCATAGCTAGATTCCCATTGGCTATTTCACTTTGCAATAGCAAACTAGCTATTGCACCCGCCCTCTGCTGCTGCCAATCAGCAGAGGGGGACCTGAAGTTCTCCATCAGGTCCCCACTACTGATTGACAGCAGCAGATGACGGGTGCAATAGCTAGTTTGCTATTGGCTATTGCAAAGTGAAATAGCCAATAGGAATCTAGCTATGCATTCCTAGGGTGTTTTTTGTTGTTTTTTTATTCTGACAGCGTACACCAGTGGTTCTCAACCTGTGGGTCGCTGTGTGATTTCTGCTGTGCTAGGTGAGAGTCCTCCTCAGCCCTCTCTTAGCGCAGCAGTGTCAGTTCTCCCGCCAGATGTCGCTGCAGCAGCCGCGTCATTCCTAAATTTTACCGTTGGGGGTCACCACAACTTGGCAAATGTTACCAAGAGGTCCCGGCCCTAGAAAGGTTGAGAACCACTGATTTATAGCAATGTCAAATTTCCTGCATGCACCTCGTTTAGAGCAACTGTACAGCCACCTATAACCCATGCAATATTGCTTTACTGCAATACTCATTCATTTGTGTTAAAACCCATGTCCACAATTAGTAAAGTACTAGTTATACCCTTACAGACAGAACACAAACCATCTACTCTGAGCCTCACTGCTAGATTCTAGCCCTCCTCAGCCGGATAAACAAAGAGGTGGCAGGCAAAGTTACATTGTGTCAGCTGAAATACTACATGGTGCTTTCAGAGATTTCTGCAGCTGGAACAGGTGGTAAAATACCACTGCGGCCCCCAGGAGCCCCTAGCTTCCAAAGGATTTGTAATGTTATGGAGATGAACCGTGGCCCCCGGGAGCCCCTAGCTTTCAAAGGATTTGTAAAGTAATGGAGATGAACCTTGTGATTCACAAACCTCTACTAAGATCTAGAAGCATTGTATGTCAATGAGGAGGAACTCAGAGCGTCCCTAGTCTTTCTATGGGGACAGAGTTCCATGTCACTTTCAAATTGTACACATAAGCTTGCAGTCTGTCTAAAGGCCTGCTCCACAGATGTGTAAAAGGTAAGAAATATTTAAAAAAAAAAAAAGTATTTTCAGGTATGCTGCGTAAATAGGAACATGAACATAGAGGGGTTTTGTCAAATCTGACTGGAAAACTGGAAATACACTTTAGGTCTGTTCTGCATCTAGTAACCACTGGACAAGCAGACATGGGCAACGTTAACTGACCTCAAAAATGGAGGAATCTTCTATGAGATTAGGAGCATCCGCGGACAAAATACCATGTGTGGCCATCACATAAATCTTGTAAGCTCCACGCTCCTTAAGAATTTCTGCTGCAGCCAGGAAGCTTTCTACCTCATCAATAATGTCATCCTGTTGTCACACAAAAGAAAATATGGCATTAGGAAATAAAGATTAAAGTGTATGTACAGCCAAACATTTTAGTTTCCGATAGAGTGGGGAAGGGTAAGAATTCTGTGTTCCTGCTGGGGAGGTAAACCCTCTTTCTTTGTCCTTAAGACCACAGTCACTGGGACTAAGGCCCCTTTCACACCATGGCCGAACCAGAACGTTTTTAGTCCGCACCAAAAATGCACCCCGAAGTATTCCTTTGGTATTTTGGAGCTCATTTCACAGCATTGCATTCCAGTGTTAAAATAAAAAAAAAAGGTTTTGCACGCCACGTTTTAGGGCTTGTTCACACTCTGCATTCCAGAGCGGCAGCTGCTGGAACGCACCGTAATCGCTCACAAAACTTCCTCTGCACTCTGGGTCGTGGCGGTGCATTGAAGTCAATGGCACCGCTTCCACGCCCCCCTGGCCCACAGTGCGATCGGACGCGTGACAAAACATTGCTTGCTCTATTTTTTGCATTTGTAGTGGAACGGAACGCAGGCAATGTTTTGCCACGCGGTTGAGCGCACTGCCGGCGGGGGGTGGCGAGGGGTTGGTGTGGAAGCGGTGCCATTGACTTCAATGCACCGCCACGCCCCCTCCCACCCCAGAACGCAGGGGGAAGTTTTGTGAGCGATTGCGGTGCGTTACAGCAGCTACCGCTCTGGAGCGCACTGCAATTGGTGTGAACAAGCCCTTATGATCCAGAATGTGCACACGCATCAAAAACACACCTGAACGCAATAAAAACAGAAAATAGGCTGTGGTCAGCTCTGGTGATCTCATCAACCTTTGATATCCTGTTTGCTGGAAAGAGGTGATTTCTGTGGAAGTTGGATATTCTTGCTCCTGCAAACATGGTTGACAAACATGTTGACATTTACAGGTTTGTGCAGTTGGTAGAGGAATGTCCTGAACTCTACGGCCCAGTATAAAAATAATGGACAGATGTTGTATTGTTATCCAAGTCTTCTATGACTTTGACCTCAGGAGCAAAGGACAAAAGCAGGACAGTGGCAAGTTAAATGATTTCTATAGATACTTAAAATGTGTCATAATTGTATGTTTCATGCATGTTTACTGCTATTCTTTTTCCTAAATTCCCCAGTAAATTGATGTAGTCATGCTCAAAAACGCAAAAAATAAAATGCACTGCCCCATGTTTGCGGAAACGTGTGCAGATCTGATCCATACATGGTGTGAAAGGGGCCTAAAAGTAATGGAAAAATGCAAAATTTTTAGTCGTCTCGAAACAGGAAGCGAGAAAATCTGCCAATTGGAACACCTGTTCTAAAGACAACCGTCTAGTAGGGGATCCCCTCACTTCCTGCTGTATCTAAAGGACAGGAAGCAAAGTTAATCTCACAGGGGTTATAACCATTCTCCACTCTATGCTGCATAACAATATAAAAAAAAGGTTGGGCTATAGATGCAGGTTAAAAGTAAAAGAAAAAAACAACCAAAAATCGTAGCACTGACGTAGTGAGGATTCAAAAAGCTTACCACTATGATAGCAATACGTCCCCCAACGTCTCCTACCACGCTGATGGGTGGTTTTTCCTTGGCCATCATCACTTGTGGGGGACAGAAAGATAAACAGTTAATTTGTCTTTCTACAATTCGGGTCATTTAACATGCACAAAACCACTTGCCAAGTCAAAGGAGAAACGAGGTAAAAGTGAAAGCTGTGCGAGCCAACAAATGTCACAGCAACATTATCTCCTGTACAAGCATGCTGGCGAGAATTCAGATCACATGCTGGGTGGTATCCACATTATATAGTAACTCTGCACTGTGCCATCTGTAGTCTTGAAATCAGTATCTAGTTTTTTCTTACAGTAATATGTCCTCAGAAGACAGCAAGCATCCTGAAGGAGTGTATTCCCTTATACCTTTCACTACAACATGTGTTTTCAATGAATATATTTTCTGGCCCGTTCGGACTATCGTGTTGCAGAAAAGGGCATGTTACATGCATTGGTGCGATGCTGGGCTATTCATTGGGAATGACACACCTTGCTGACAAAAATGATGTAAGCACAATTTTGAGTCCTTTGTGGTGTTAGGCAGCCCATTAAAATAAATGGTCTGCTTTACCGCAATACACGTGCTTTTAACATACCACAGTGGAAGTGTACTTTCCATTAAAAAAAATCAATTTCTTGCAGTTCGAGGGATACAGGAATTCAGAGACTGTTGGGTTATGCTGCCACCTTCATCCATGAGCTCCAAACACTCAAAAAGCAAAGGATCGTCTTGAAAAGACCCGGACTCCTTCTCATGGCGTAGCCCGGTCAATTCGATTTTGTCAGATCACCATGTTAAGAGTTTGTCAGGTAACGGCTAAAGCAGTGTCTGCCGATGAAAACAAGGTTTTTGGATGTGCCTCCAATCACTTGATCTTCAAATCTTTTGTTAACATTTGACTGCCAGGTCCACAACAAGGGCAGTCCAATTTTTAAACAAAGGTCTCCTCAAATGGGTGCAGGCTTCCTTAAAATGGAGTGCCTGTGTGAACAACTTGTTAGGGTTCTCCCCGGCTCCGTAGAGAAATTACTGAAAACAGCTTGGTCATGGGACCCCCCCCAAAGGTGCAAAAGCTAGGGCCACCAGCACTGGCAGATGCTGCAAACAGATACTCATGTTTTAAAGTGGTGCAAACCAAGTCAATATAAGTAGAGAAAGTCTCTTATAATCTGTATAATTTCTTAGGAAACTGACTGGAAAGCACAGCAAAGCAGATTGCCCAAAAGGTCACTTTCCAGGCTAGCCAGGCTAATATCCAGTGCAGCGGAGCCTGGGTACGGCCTCCAAAAGCTACTGCTGAGGAAACACCAATCCAGATAACTGCATATACAGACCACTAAGCAGCTTGTAGAGGAATTTTGAATTTTCAAAAAAAGGTTTAACTTTTCTTAGCAGACCAGAATAGACGATCCTCCTAGAGACTAGAAAAAATAGGATTTTTATACTCACCGTAAAATCCTTTTCTCTCCGTTCATTGAAGGACACAGGGCAACAGATCGTTGATCCTGAATGGTATGGTATATCGCCACCTGCAGGAGTAGGACGCTAGGCACATAACAAAAAGACAAGACAGCCTAGGGGCAGCCCCTGCTGGTGGCCCAACCCCTCACTTGCTGACAAGTCTCCAGTAAGTAACAAGCAGTTAGGAGTGCACACCCCATAAAAGAGGGCGGGGCCTGTGTCCTTCAATGAACGGAGAGAAAAGGATTTTACGGTGAGTACAAAAAGGTGTGCTGGGAGTAGGAAGGGTTATAATGGGCTGGCTGCAATTTTTTGTATGATGTCCAAATTCCTAAACTTCCTAAAAGTGGCAGCACAACCAACAGCTTCTAAATTCCTGTGTCCCACAATGAACACTAAAGAAATATAAGAAAAGTTTGTGTACCTTCAGAAATTCCTAACTCCCTAAAATATGATCAGATCTTCACCTAAGCTATATAAAATGGTCTTGATTGTCCAGTTGCCATCTTTACAACAGCAGGAACACAATTATATTTATGCACACATGGGTCATGCTGCAAAGTCATCTTAGGCACAGTCTTAAAATTACTCCTCTCCAAAAAGAAAAAAAAAAATGCCGTCAGTCTTAAGTCATCTAAAGACCACTGGATGCTGTATAATACTAATGGAACAATGCTCTGTGGACAGATAAGCCAAGGAATGCGCCTGTGTGCAGGGTGAAGTTAGGAAGAGAGCAAAACATTGCATACCAACACCAAAACCCTATCCAAACTGTGAAGCATAGTGAAGGAAGAATAAAGGTGTATAGCTCTTTATTTCAGCCAAAAACTGGCCATACAAAATGACATTATGATGTAGTCCAAGGGTTTGCCTGACTGGATATAAATGAAATGGTATATAGTAGGCCTTCATATTACATAGATTTGGTATATCTAAAGGATACTGCACATGCTTTGTTCATGTAGGACCACCTTTAAGCCCCGTTCACACTGAGCGGATTTACGCGTGATATCGCTCGGTGTACTAAGTCTAATGCATATCAGTGTTCCCATTTACAGCTCCATATCGCTTGTAGCACGTCGCTTGTGCAGGACCCTTTTTTGGCGCGGATGTCGTGCGATTGTACTCGGCCCAATGCGCGATATTGCGCGGAAAAACGCACAATATCACGCAAATGACAAACGCGTGATTTGCAATATCGCAAGTGTGAATGGAGTGTTAGGGCCTATAAGAGTAAGTGTGTTCTCTCTGTGATCTAAACTTAAATTGGGTCCTGTAATCTGACTTCAATTCATAATGCAGGAATAAATGAACAGAAGAAATGTGTCTTGGAATGACCAAGCCAGGGTCTTAGTCTCAATCCCACTGAAATGCTGTTGTGAAATTTAAAGCAGAACATTAAGGCACTGCAAAAATATAATATACAATGGTTTATAAAAAGCTATGGGTGAAAACAGTTCTTAACACAGGAGTGGATAAGATTATATGAAATTCAGAAGCCAGTTTGTCCAATCCTGGAGCCAGCACCATTGATAACTAGCGAAAACCTCAAAATGAGGTGCCAGCTGTAATTTTTAAGAAGCATTGGCTTCTGGGATTTGTCCAGCCCTGTTTTAACCCCCTGATGGCCAACCTGCATAAGGCCCTTTTGACGCTTTTTTGTAGCTGTCAGGTCCTAGCAATCAGTGGTTTCCTTGCCTAGGTGCTTACTCAGGGGTAGAGAAGGAAAACATTTAATAGGTTTCTACCAACTAAAAGATTAATTTTTTCCCCCCTAAAAACGTTTTTACTTTTTCTGTGCCGTTCATGCTTTTTTCTCCTTTGACCTTTCATAATGGAGGAATATCGAATGTGCTGCCAGGGGATTGTAGAGTGCTTGCAAAAGGACTGTAATGAAAGTGATCTTTAGCAGTCTCCTGCAGCATGTCCCTAGTCTCCAACCAGACCTGAAATATACCGTATATACTCTAGTATAAGCCGAGTTTTTCAGCCCATTTTTTGTGCTGAAAAGTGCCATTATCTCCATTTTGTACATTTACCAGTAGCTGCCTCATTTCCCACCCTCGGCTTATACTCGAGTCAATATTTTTTCCCAGTTTTTTGTGGTAAAATTAGGTACCTCGGCTTATATTCGGGACGGCTTATACTCGAGTATATACAGTATCTGGATTTATCTTTTAGTCTGCCTGCAGTCTCTAATCATCTCTTGTAGTGTGACCATTGAGTAATATAGCCAGTCTCTGACAGTTTTGGGTAGCATTGCACACATTTAACATTATGTACAGGCTTTTGGCGATGTCAGGGGGCTGCTCTTGAGGCTCCCCCTTTATCAAAGACGTTGGCCACCACCATCTTAAAGCTGAATCCCTTGCTTCGGCAGGCCCCCTCCACACTATGCAACCAGTCCCTTGAAGCCTCTTCTCCAAGGCAATCCCTGTCAGTGTTTGCATTCTGTCACCATGGCATACAATGGGTGGCCAATAGCCTTGCATCAAATAAGAGGATGGCAAGGGTCTACCCGCCACCCAGGGCATTGGAGAGAAGAGGTGAGCACCAAAAGGTGCCGCAGTGAGGAACAAAAGTATTAAAGCTTATTCCTCTACCCCAAGACTTAAGCATTTTAGGATCCATTTATACAGAGATGCAGAAAAGTTAAAAGGGGTTTACAAAGAATATCTATCTACAAAGGTTCTAGTAGATCAGTTGCACTTCACCAATATTTTCCGTACTATGTGTTTGGCTGTATAACTCATTGGGTGGTAGAGAGTGATAGAAGGGAGCAGCAAAGGTTAGAAAAGGACTCTTCTACTCATGTTAATGTGGCTACAGCAGCTCGGTGAACATTTACACTAAGATGCGAGTTGGGTTAGAACACACAGAACTCAATGCAACACTGCAAGACACTCATAGTGCATTCCTAGCAAACACACAGCAAAAAGCACAAGACTTTCCATACTTGGGAGCTCAATGCCTGGATACAGGGGCTGGCGTTTGCCTAATATCAAAAGCACAGGAAGCATGTAAGCAGTAGCTTTAAACAGAAAGGATAACCCCTCGCTATGGAAACAAGCACTCCAGGTTAATCTAGATATCAACATCCTTCAATGTATACAGAGATTACAACATAGGCGCAATTCTACAATTATAAAGTGCTTTACAAACTGACTAAGCAAATCATTTGGCATTGTACCACTACAACCATAATAGGCTTTCATTCTATAGAAATATTGCTTCTTCTCTTTGTGAGCTGATCCAACCACATTCCATCATTTTAGAACAGATATTTCCTTTAATCATTGACAGACTTAATAAAGAACAATTCACATTCTCATGATCATTTTCAGCGTATTTATCATGCAACTCCCTTGGCCTTCAGTAACATCTCTCCTCTTATCATCCTTTGTATTTGCACAGCTAAAAATAGCACGACTCAAGTGAATACATATGCAGGTAATACTAGGAGAAAAAATGCAGTTGTTAAATAAGAACCACAAATGTAATGATTGTAAAACCTTTAAATTAGACAAACCCAAAAGAAAAATCTTTAACCAAGAGATGGGCAGGGTGCGGAGGTTTGGAGGAGAGATCTTCCCCCTGCTGCATGTCTAGCTGATAGGCTGCATTTGACATTTCACATGCACTGGCATAAGAAAGTGTACCATGTATTCCTATAGAGAAGGCACCAGAGTTCAAGTCCTATAGCATTTGTATGTCTTATGAACGCTAAAGGATTCACCATTTGAATATACTTGAAACTATCTCAACGAGTCAACAGTAGGGCCTGTGTTAACGGGCTTTGGGCTTGTGTTGATGGCGCCAGTTTGAAACATTCCTGAGATCATTCATAAATTGGCAGGTACATTTGACCTGCACTTGTCCTTCTGATCTACTTCAAGTGGGTTTCACACTCCCATAGGCTTATATGGAAATACAAAACCTATTTGAAACAAACAAAAGCTCATCAACACGGGCCCTAAGATTGCTGAAAATCGAAGCTTCGTCTGCCACAGACATTGCAGAGGTGGGGTAGATCTCACTGCCAGGGGTCCGGACAGCACTAATATATAAACCGATAAGAAAATGACTTTATCATATCTGGGATAACTGGAAAAACTTACAAGGGATCTCTAGTCCTAGGTGGACAGTTGCGTTCTTTACAGTGGGTGGAGAGTGACGTCCATCTGCCATGTCGAGCTCTGCACACTGGGCCTCACCATGTATCACTGCAAGTCCGAGACGCAGCCGCTCTGCGTAGGATTGCGCCCTGTCATAGTAAACAAAGCAATTAGTGCAAAGGAACAGACAGTGCTTGACACCAAGCTTAAATGTATGTAGCTTTACACAAGGATAAGGTTCTTCAGCAGTCATGTGACTGACATTTTCAAATCTCGTTTGCCTTATCAGGGGTGTGGAAATTACAAAAAAACACAAAAACAACTACTTGCCCAAGGGCTAAAGCAGGGCCCAATCTACAAACTACTTGTCCCGAGAGAAAAAATTGTTTTATTTAAAACCAATTTAAGTGTGCTAAATAGCGCTTCTTATTGGTCAGTTTCAATGAGTGCTCGCAGTTTGCGAGCGAAATTCAAAATGCATAGCGCAGGGCTGCACTGGACAGCAGTATGTGGTACAGATGATACTCTGTACTGGAGGAGGAAAAGGACTGTTCGCCAAAAGGTAAGTATAACGGGGGCGGGGTGGGGAGAGAATAGACAGGGCCAGATTTGAGCGGGTAATTCCATTGTTCTCCGCTCTGCTGCCCGCTCTCCATCCTGAGCTCATTTGCCGCAGTCGCCCCAGAGGAGGGGGCGGACAAGATCACTGCTCATTTTATACAAGTGATCTAAAATCACTTGTACTAAATGAGCGTTGGCACCCCAGAACTACAATTGGGTCTGCCAGCCCACAGCAGGGCTAAATGTAGAAAATAAAAAAACTACCCGCCTGGCGCCCGAAACTGCATGTCCCGGGCGTCGGGCAATACAAATTCCATATCCCTGCTTAGATAAAAAGGCAGCTCACTTTTTTGAGCATAATGATCCTTATTTTGGTTCAAAGTACACGTAAAGGTTTCAAGAAAACGTCACCCAGCCCCCTGAACACAGAGAACTCCCTAAAGCAGGAACACACATCCCTTTACCAACTGCTGTGACCTTCAGAAAAGTTTAGAGCCCAGACGGTAAAGATTTAGCTCAAGGCTGCCCATGCCTGCCTACGAACACCCCCCAGTCTTGAACAGGCTGTACCCATATGGCAGGAGAAACGTTCCATTCAATATGATGGGATTTTAGTTTTCATAAATCGATTAGTTGGCCGATTATTTTTTTGATTAATCCGATAAAAAAAAATGAAATACCATCTTTTATGTAAAATGTAATACACAAATGGAGTGTTACAAAGTTTACTTCAGAATAAAAAACTGCATGCACATTTTTTGCAATTGCATCGCACTGGAACGCACAGCATTACAGTACCACGCATTCCCGAATGCGGGCGATCACACTGCAGGCGGGAAGCATGTTTGGGCTGCTATTGAAATGAATGGCACCGCAACGCACATCCTGCAGCAGAATTTGCCAGGCTGAAACGAAATAAATTTATTTCCCCACTTGGTTTTTAAATAATTGTATGCATTATATTGGACATTTTAATTAGTTTCATGGATTTAAGCTAATCTGAATTGTACAACTCCAGGCCAATATAAAATATAACCAAACTTATTTGAAATAACAGCAAAATTGAACAAAAACCCCCAACATTTTGTAATATATCTATATCCCTATATACCCGGTCATCAGTTTAGAGCTAGCCTTTAAATACTGGCCCCAGAATTATTGCTCTCCCTCTGGCATATGTGGTGATACCCAACATGTGTAGCACAATTGTCATTTTCATAGATAGGTGCATCCAACTTGTGTTTCCGTTAGTATGCACGCGGGACTAGGGGGACTTTAAACTTTTTTGGGGTATTTGTAATTTTATTTAACTTTATCTATTTTATTTTTACTTCAGTGCTATCACAGAAGGGGGAGTGTGGGCTCACAATCCCCCTACGTGATGGAGGTGACATTAAGGGTCTATTAGATCCCTAGTGTTACCTTTCCACTTAACTGGGGAATGACAGCTGCCTGCTCAGGCAGTGGCTGGGAGCAATAGCCAGCCTACTATTGTCCATTGTAAATTGCAATTGCCAATAGCAAGCTGGCTATTGCACCCACCCACTGCCTGCTGTCAATCAGCAGAGGAGTGAACTGAAGGAGAAAGTTCTCCTTCAGGTCCTCCTCTGTTGATTGACAGTGGGCGGGTGCAATAGCCAGCTTGCTATTGCATTTTAAAATGACCAATAGCAGGCTGGCTACTGCTCCCAGCCGTTGGATGGGAGACTTGACGCCGGCTTTCTACCACCAGCAGAAGAGGGGGCATGGGGCACAGCAGCAGAGAAACGGGCAGCATCAGAGGCACGGAGGAAGCAGAGGATCGCAGGCAGCAGCGGGGGAATGCAGAGGCACAGCAGTCTCTACTCCCCGCTGGGCGCCGGCTACAAATCTGACTGAAGGGGACACAGACCGCATCATGCAGCATTAAGGAGGAGAACAGTGGAGCAGAGTGGCTGTGGTGGCGGCAACTAATCGATAATGAGAATCGTTGACAGCAATTCTCATTATCGATTAGTTGTTGCAGCCCAGTACTAGATTTTTGCCAGGCTGCAGCTGTCATAAAAAGGTACCTCCTCTACTGGATATTTAGATGTATGTAATGAGAGCGCGCTATGTGACATACATGAAACCTGTACATGTACTTTAAGCTTTGTAAATTGTTCCTAATATTAGCAACATAAGAAATAACACACTGAATTACTGTTTGCATATTAAGGTGAAATTTCAGCAGTGTATAGCCAGCTTAAAGTGACCCTAAACGGAGGAGTTAACTCTTAAAATGCATTCAAGCGCCTCTAACTATTAACAAAAATGTATCTTATTTGTGTATCACTCAAATCATCTCTGAATCGGTGCCTTCTGGAGGGTGGCTACTTTTGTTCCCCTTGGACCCTGTGTGTGTTGTAAAGTAGTCACCACTCCAAGATTGCTGCCCCAATGAACTATAATCTCAGGTTCAGTTTATGAATTTGTTTTGAGATTGTAGTCCATCATGTGCGGGCAGAATTGATACCCAAAACTGCAGAAATTCTTAATTGCTCTCCACTGCTTATGGGTTCAGTGCAATCTGTAAAATAAATACAATACTGGGTTAAATAAAATCCATGTCTAACTAAAAACTTTTTATTTTAAGATAAAGGGAGGAAGTCTTGGAAATCCATGTCCAACTTTCAAATGACAGGAATCAAGGAAAAATCAAAAGAACGCAGAAATAAAAATGCATTTTAGTGGAGTGCGGGAAGGCTAAAACCCCAGACAGATTTGTATTCTGTGTTGCAGAATTTCTCACTTCCTCTCTGGGGAAACAATTGTGACTGTGACAGTAAATAAGCGAAAAACTCTAACCAAGTCCTGGATAGGAGTAAAAACCAGACAGTTTCTAATCCTTCTCTATACTATCCAAAATTAGATGAAAAGGGGGAGGCCTGGACATGTACTTTATCCTTCCTGTGTAGACAAGCAACATGTCCCATACATTTACCTCTAAATACATAAATAACATTTACCTCTTTGCTGCATCAGGAGACTTTGCAACTATTACTGCATTTCTATAATCCGGAATCTGAAAAAAGGGATAGAACAGTAGAAATGAGATGAAGACTCATAACTGCAATCTTTATAATACTACCGTAGTTGGAATATAGCGGTCAACCCAGAAGTGACTGGCGAATAACTGCCTGGATGTTGGGGTCACCCACCTCTTCTTGTATGTATTGTAGCAGGAAAGGGGAGGCTCGGAGGTTGTCTACAGGAAAATTAAAGAACCCTTGGATCTCCTTTTGATGCAGGTCCATTGTGATGATGTGAGTCAACCCTGGACAGTGGGAATGAAACAGAATGTGACTCCTCTCAAACTAAAAAACAAGAAAAAAAACTCCCCAAAAACATAAGTTTGAACAAATGTGCCTACCAGCAGCAGTTTCCAAAATCAAGAAAAAAAAAAAAAAAAAAAAAAAAAA